CTTTATCCAGCAGTGGACGTCTTTCGGCTGAAACGAACGAACGATTCCATTTTAATCACATAGGTGACACAGTGTAGCTTGATGATCAGCCTTGGATAGTTTTACACCTAAATAAATATCCAACAAAAGGGTCACGCACGTACGCGTATGGGAGTCTACTATGGTTCCACCACCACATAGTAAAAAAACGGGGCCCGATTGATTGCTTTCTGTCATAGAAAATGATTTTACAGCAGTGTTCATCATCTTGTTCACCTACACGTCATAGCTATAGTCACAGATATGNTTAACAGCACAATTTTTCATCCAACTGCGATACTTCATACACCGCAAGGTGTTCAGAAGGAAAGAAGGGCTACTGACTCATTCCTTTTCTATATTTTTTACAAGGCTTATACTGTAACATTATTTTATAATTTATATAAGGTTATACATATATCTGAAATATTTTGTTATGACTGCAACTAAAGTGTAAATTCATAGAATAAAGGTAGCCTCCAGTAATATTTAATTACTTATTTTTATTCCTTTCCTCTCCGACATCACACCCCCTTTCACAAATTCTCTAACACATTAAAAGTAGGACACACCTATCACTAAATGAACACTTGATTTACAATAATAAATGTAATAATAAAAAAGGGCCTATTGCACCTACTGTAAGGTAACATTATAATTTAGTCTTTTATTCCATTTTAATCACATAGGTGACACACACACACCCTGTAGTGTAGCTTGACGTTCAGCCTTGGATAGTTTGACACCTAAATAAATATCCAAAACAAAAGGGTCACGCACGTACGCGTATGGGAGTCTACTAGAGATGGGTTATACTAGGTAAATTTGATACTAGGTGCGCCTATTCCAAGTATTTAATAATACGTGATCCAAATACCTGTTCCACTTAGTACGTAGTAATTTACCATACTTGACGCGACTAGTGCGGACTAATCCACGTATTATGACTTTAAAATACAATTTTCTTTGAAAAGATCCACTCGTAGTATTAATAATGCAATTTGAAATTGAATAATAATGTTTTTGCTGGTTGTTGATTGATTGATATCCTCCCTTCATACTTCAACAGGCTTAGGACTATCAACTTAAAAGTTGGCGTATTTAAAAGATATCAATTTCATAAAAATATTTACATAATTTTTTCTATTTTTTATTTATGCAATTATCACGGACGCGTGACAACAAACCAAAACAAACCTGTCGGAAGAATAAAAACTGGTTTTTTACCGGCTAGTCAACAAGGAGTGAGCTGGATGAGAAAAAACAAAAATTAAAATATTCAAAACCTTACCTGTGTACAAATAGAGTTTAAATTACGTAATACATCAAACACCTATTCCTATCTCACACCTGCCTGCGCTCAAATTTGTTTGTCAGACAGAGACGGAGTGAATCTCTACGTTCGGGTAAATCCGCGAAACAGTAAAAAACGTATGTTCCGATCGATTAAAAAAAAACTGTTGTAGTTCTGGTAAATTAAACTTCTGAATAACGATTCGTACAAGTTTCCACATAAGGTGCCATGATCCATATTGATTAAATACTTCAAGTTATTTCGATAATCAAGAAAACACGCACTAAACGTCATTACCATCACAGTAAAAGTACTGACCTTTGCCGTTGTCTTTTAATTTTTTTTACTTTACCTATACACAGACCAGATTTTGATTATAAATTTAAAATGTACATATTTNTGACTATATGTAAGAATTAATTTATTTTAAAAAGGTAAATAAAGATGTTTTTGGTTTTGTATTTAATTTTAACAAACTATCAGTTTTATCGGAATTAAATAATTGTCGAATCGAGTCACACGATATCTTTCGATGACTTTGCGAATGCAGTACGTTTTTTACCACATTGAATTTTGTCGTTTAGAAATATCTTCAAAACTAGGTACCTGACTTAGCTTTATGAAACAAAACGTATTGGAAAAACTACGCATTTTTACATTTATTAAAAATAAAAAGCTTGAGTAAATAATCTTTATTTTATGAAACTAGGTCAGGTACTTACTAGGATATTTAAAAGTATGGAATTAAGTATGAATTACTAGTAGTACTATTTAACATAATGGAATAACGATCATTACTTTCATAAACATTAGGCACAACAAAAATATTATCTGCAAATTAATAATGTAGAATAACGTCTACCGCTACAATATTATTTTAATCCACAGTCAGACTAGCTATAAATTTAACAAAATATCAGTTTTAACGGAATTAATTAATTTTCGAGTCGAGTCACACGATATCATTCGATGACTTTGCGAATGCAGTATGATGATACGATTACTTTTACGTTGCGGCAATCACTAAAATTCGCTAAAATGACACTAATGACGTTTAAAAAGTGGCACGCTCGGCTTCATACAATTTTTGACACATGCTGCATCTATCTATATCTGTGGCTATAGTAATATCCAACCATTCATTTCAAAGGTCAATAACCTTATCGCCCGGATCGGGTGAAAGGGTGAGGTTATTAAAAAAATAGAGAAAGATGAATGAACAACAGCAGTAGGTAGCTTGATCATGACATGATGCATTTCTGTAAGTGATCTAAGTATGTTAGGTTTACCAGAATTTTCTAAAGCTACGTTTAACTTTACATACCTACTTTGATCACGTAAATACAACAAGTAGGTACAGTCGACACAAGTAGGTAATAATATTTACGAGTAGGTTATGTTTTTTAGGGCTGGTTACCTAGTTCAACAAAGTAATATCTCACATATAAATACTGTAATATTAAAGAGAACTATTATCCATTTTATATGTATTATGTAGTAAGGTAGGTACCTACCTACATTCTTAGATTAATCTAAGCCTACATTACATACCCTACTACTATTTCTCTAAATTAGGTAGGTACCTACCTAGGTGTATAATAAAATTGGTGTGTCCAATAGGTAGTTGATTAAGATATTCGCGAAAAACGCTTCTGGGAGAACGTTTTTGACCTTTCATGTTTAGTTTCTTCGGTTAGTTAGGACTGTAACTGTACGGATATGTTACTACTACNAATGTGTATGATATTATGAACACGTAAGTGATTATGGTGTAATTGTGTATGAAAGTGTTTGTTTACATCTCTGCTGGATTCTAAAAAATCAAGGTATAGGTACCTATGGATTAACGCCTACTCAAATTTTATAGCAATGATGAATTTATGTGTCAGTATTTCTATATTTGTATACCTACCTATTGTATACTACTTGAATGTCCATCCATTTATTATCCAACAAACTTGAATTAAAAATTATTTTTACCTACTTGAATATAACAGCTCTATGTAAGTTGGTTACTACGTACGTTCGTACTATGTTTTGTGCTATGGCCAATGGCGTACAAAAGGTTAAGAGAGCATCATAGATAAGAACCTACCTACTGAGATCATCTTGGTGCATGTATGATTCACATTCAAAAAGCAAAATGAATCATTTTCGCAATGTTATGCCATATAATAAAATTAAAATCAACTACATCTTTCCGTGTTACTACCTAAAATAGGTATATGAAAACCTTGAAACAGTACAAACTATACAGGGTGTTAGGTAAATGGGTATATGAGCCGACACTAGCCCATGTTAATTTGATATCATAATTTTATTTTTTTTAATTTTCATACAATATAAATTTTATAAAATCCGATTTGTATGAAAATTAAAATAATTAAAATGAAGATATCAATTTTCTGACTTCACCATACCATTTATATGACCATGTTAACATGGTCTAGTGTCGGCTCATATACCCATTTACCTAACACCCTGTCTTTTGCATAAAATATTTTTTATAAAAAAACCCGTGGTATTTACTTATTGTCTTAAAATATTAACGTAAAGTAGACTATATAAGGACTAAAATGACATATGATACATATGAGTATGGGTATTTTAAGATATTCATTTCGCATCACAAAGTTGGCAACTCCGCTAATTGGACGAAAACTAGCGCACTTACCTACTATGTAAGTACTGAATGTACTGTAATGCAACTAAAAAAATCGATCAGTACTTAGGTACCTATGGATTAACGCCTACTCAAATTTTATAGCAATGATGAGTATAAGACTTATACTTAGTGTCAGTAATCCTAAATTTGTATACCTACCTCTTAGATTAATAAAGCTTTATTAATCTAAGACCAAAACCTATACTAGGTACTTGAATGTCCATCCATTTATTAACTAATAACAAATGTGAATTAAAAATTATATTTACTTGAATATAACAGCTCTAAGTAAGTTGGTTATGTACGTACTACGTTCGTATTATGTTTTGTGCAATGGCCAATGGCGTACAAAAGGTTAAGAGAGCATACATAGATATGAACCTGCCTACTGAGATCATCTTGGTGCATGTATGATTCACATTCACAAAGCAAAATGAATCATTTTCGCATTGTTACGCCATAAAATAAAATGAAAATCAACTGCATCTTTCCGTGTTACTACCTAAATAGGTGTATGAAAACCTTGAAACAGTACAAACTATATACAATTTATTTTAAACCTCTGGTTTTTTATTAAAATTTTCAAGATATAGAGAATCCTGTTACGTGTTTGTTGCTTTATATTATAATTATATACCTAGGTAGTCCACATAGTGACTTAGTGCCAACTAGGTATTGACTTTCACTTTTGAAATCATTGCAGGCTTTATTCTGCTTACTCACTTACTTTACCTACTAGAAATAAGACGAATGTTACTATGGTAGGACCTACAACGTAAAACCTTAGCACAACTTTAATATAGTACCTACCTAACTTTGTTACTTCATGGCAATTGTTATTAATGTTATTATAATGTTGTGTAATAAATAATTATTAACATAGTTCAAATAAAGGGAAGTTAAATAAAATATCTTGCCAGAATCTTAGTAAATTAACAGTTTTATTTAAATAAATTACTAGAACTACAATCTAAAAACTCATAACCCTTAAGTTTAATATGAAATATTGTTTTTTTCAGATTCTCCTTTTTCTTCATTTTCTATTATCATGTTAGCCCATTCTTCTGCTTGTCTGTACCTTTGTCGCTTAGCATAGGGGGCGTAAAACCATCTATGTGTGGCAACCAAGGCAGTCGTTATGGATATAGCCATCAATGTTTTTGAAATTGGGCTTGCATTCCTAAACCATCTTTGAATTGCAGTCATGATCACTGCGTAGTGCTAGGCGTAATTTCTTCGTTATTTTCAAGAGGTTTCCTTTGTTGCCGAGGAAAATGTTCCTCAAATAGTGGTTTCCAGATGTAAATCCCTCCAAATACACCCAATATTGTCGCTAAAACAATTTGGCCTTTAGTTATTCCACGAGGTCTATAAATTCTCATTATAACCTGTTCTCTGTGGTAAAAGGCTTCTAAGCCTTCGGTAAATACAGCTATTTTAATTCAAAAGGAATTGTAAAATAATAAAGGTATTAAAATTACCTAACTCATTGAAATAACCTGAAAATAAAATTTTGAAGTTTTAATTTTTTTCTCCTGCCATTCCTGATTCACGAATCTATAACTATACAGCTTAGAACATTTGTACTTTTTACTAAACTACCAAAGATATAAGAATTTATTTGTATGTACACGCGATTAACACAAGGAACATAAAATACAAAGAATGATTTATGTCGCGCATTCTGAATTTCTGACTGACGATGCATGGTAATAATGTTAATTTCTTTGCAACTTTTTAAAAAAGTATAAAAAAAAATTGCATGTGACTTTTCGAATGAGAGAATGACAATCACATGTTTTTATTTTGTAATACGTTGACGTTCCCTTCAATCGGCAATATTATTTTGTACGAAACATACGATAATCCAAAAGTGTTTTATCGTTGTTTTGTGTAAATAAAGAGGAGATGGAGAGTCGTCCAAGAAAAATCCCCAATTTGTTAATAACAGGTAGGTACACATTATTTAGAGGTTATCTTGTATGTATTGTGATGAACTTTTTTTTTTCTATAGATATTTTAGTGAGCTAGGAATATCCTAGGCAAAAATAAGATATTAAATAAGTTGTCCATTTGATACAGGAACGCCTGGTGTGGGGAAGTCCACCATTTGTCAGAGAGTGGCAGATAGAACAAACTTCGCATGGAGAGAGGTTTCAAAAATTGCCGAAGAGAGCAGCTGTCTTGATGAATTTGATCCCGAGTATCAGTGCCCTTTCCTAAATGAGGATAAGGTCAGGCGATAGCATCATATAATTAAAGAAACCCGAAATTCCAGCATCACAATGATAATGCATGCATTGAATGTAAAACCACATGGTGGTAGACATGTTCTCTAGCCCCTATAATTTAATTAAGATTTTGTGTAGGTAGGTAAATACTCATTTATTCAAACAGATCAATGTTTAAATTCCAAAAAAAATACTAACTTGCTTGTTTTGCGTTTACCTCAAGTCCAAAATAAATAAAATGTGTCCTAATTGTATTTTGTTATGTTTCAGTTATTAGATGTCATGGAGTGCATGATGAATAAAGGCGGTAATATAGTGGACTACCATGGCTGTGATTTCTTTCCGGAGCGTTGGTTTGATGGTGTATTTGTTATCAGAACAAATAATACCATCCTGTATGACAGACTTTCTGCGAGGTAAGCTAAATAAAATCCTTTCTATACTTTTGATGCACATGCTTTCTAAAGTAGGGTTAAGAAGTTAAGATGAATAAAACAAAGCAAGCAAGGATGCATCAATACTGCATTTTGCTGTAATAAAAATAAATGTGTTAGAATGCAGTCTGGCTGCAGTTAGATATTATCATAGATAAGTGACCTAGAATTAATTTGTGTCCTATGAAAACATTAAAATAGGAGTGTAAGTTATAGTCTTACTACACCCTGTCTGTCATAAACCTAGCCCATTATTTAATCTAATTGTTAATTAAAATATGATGCTTGTTTACAGAGGGTACACAGGAAAAAAATTGGAAGACAACATCCAATGTGAGATATTTGAAACCTTACTGGAAGAGGCTCAGTCTTCGTACAGGCCACAGATTGTAAAGGAGCTGCAAAATGATTCAGATGAACAACTGCAGAAGAATGTGGATACAATTATTGAGTGGATCGAGAGGTGGAAAGAAGAAAATTTATAATAAATCTTATTAGTAGTCACAATTATTATTTTCATTACTTTCCTTTTTTATTGGCAGCCTCATAACTTGAATGTTTTTGAGATTGATCCTCTGTTAATGCCCTTGATCTCTAACTAGTTTGTTCATTTATACCGCATCCAGTAATTGGTTGACTAGACATTCTACTGTCACTAGAAAACTGAATTTACACTACACAAATAAAAAAGAACTTTCTTACTTCCATAATAGGTAGGCCTGATGACAAGTTTTACAGTCACACAAAAGACATACCTACTAGCTTTTGGCTGCAGTTTGTTTGGTCCTTCTTGAATGGATGGACTAACTAACTTTGAAGAATCAAAACTATTTTTAAAGTATTGTACCTAAAGTTTATCAATATTTTGTTTAAATCTATACTGATATTATAAATGCGAAAATAAGTCTGTCTGTCTTACTTTCATGCCTTAAACCACTGAACCGATTTTGATGAGATTGAGTCTCGGGAAAGGACATGGGATAGTTTTCAACCCACTTTTTGAAACAGGGACGCGCGCGATAAAGTTTTTCTGTGACAGAGAAAATTGCACGCGGGAGAAGCCGCGGGCGGAAAGCTAGTATTTTAATAATTCTTAACTTATATCCATAACTAAGTATTATAATTAACTTAGTTTTCGTTCTTCTTTTACCAGAAAAAGGATCGTGGGATCCACCTTGTATCTGTAAATAAATAATATCTCAGTTGCAGCTCTTCTTTTTTGCGGTTTAGTAAAAACTAATGTAGGTACTATTATTTGATAAACAGGAAGTAAGGATGGAATAACAACAACAGGGTATTATAAATACAACCTAGTTTATTCATTAGCCCACCAACATATATAAGAAATGCATTCAAATTACTGTATTTAGATTACTAAATTATAAAACTGTGCAAACTCGGTAAATGTGAGATGGTAAAATGGCAACACCAGCCGAGTTCGCGGGCAGTTGCGCAGACACACGCTCGCTACATTCACTCACAGATCTTTCATGGAAAGTTTCACATCACAACACTACAGCTCGGACTTCTTGGCGTTGCCCTTTCTGTCCCAGCCGTTAAGTTCGCTGCTGGCGTTCTCGGCGACGTACTTAAGGAAGTCTTCCAAAGCGCGTCCGCCCTGTAATGCAAAAACGAATAACATTAATATAATCTTACAAAAACATTGTATCCTAAATTGATATTGTGCTGTGTACTGTCTCTAAATAAATAATTAAGACTGGTTAAACTTCAACTGCAAGAAATGCACTCATTGAGACTGAAGAGTAAGCATTCAGAATGTAGCATAAAGTTTCAGCAATCTCTATTTAAACTTTCTAGAGATAGCAAACTGGACAGAATCATTGTTGTGCTCAACACTGAAGCATTCGTCCATAGCGAGATTCGAATCCACAACAGCTGGCGTTGTAGTCTGTGAATTAGGCTAGATGGCTACCTTACCTTCGTAACATTCAGGTCAGATGCTGTATTGTTTGTTATCCAAATCGCTTGGAGGTTGTGATGTGATCTAAAATCATAGCTGATTTATTATATGAAATAAATACTCACGTTGTATCTGACAGGTTTCTTGGAGCTGTCCTTGGGTTTCCAGAAGATGGTCGGGAATCCGGACACGTCAAACTGCGACTTGGGCCAGTCGTTGGCGGTAGCGTCGATCTTAATGATGTCCACATCCTCGTTCTTCAACTGTTGGACAATGAATATTATTAGTTTGTTTCAGAAGTATTTGGACCGAAATAAGATGATGAAAGGAATAGTTTTCTGCATTGTTTGCTTTCCCAAGTTATCTAAAAATGTTAACCACATTTAAAAATTTAATTTTCTCAATTTATCATCATCATCCCCTATTATGGAATAAATGTAAGAACCTGTAGTTATTTAATGTCGAAAATAACGGCAGAAGAAGAGAGTGTGGTATGAAAGGCTGAAATTAATTTAACCAATAAATATAGTCAATTGAGTACACAAAGTAATATCTTTGGTAATATTCACGTTAAAAGTTCCCCTTTTAGGCTGGTTTTAGAATAGAATTTCAACATCGTGTCTCTTGAACACATTAGCGAAACCAGTGGGTTTCAAATACGCGTCACGACACGAGTGCATTAAAAAAGAATAATAATGATGTCAGTCAACTACTCCATCGTGGTTTAACTATAGTGCTTTTTTAAATCGTGCCTTAATTCTAATGAAAAAAAAAACGACCTAATTATTGACTCTCCAAGCCGTTAAGTCAAGTTAGGGCAAGTCATATTTATCGTGTGCCATCTTACCTTGTCTCCAAGCTCCTCCCACACCGGCGCCAGCTTCTGACAATGTCCGCACCAGGGCGCGTAGAATTCGACCAGCGCGTCACGACCGCTGTCGGTCACCAGCTCCTTGAAGTTCTTGCCGACAGCCACCTTTACCGGCCCGTCGTTGCTCTCGGGAACTGCTTCGGATTTCACGAATGGTTCTAGCTTGCCGTCGACCAAGTCCTTGGTGAAAGCCAGGAGGTTTTCGATGCTGGAAATGAGAAGGTGTCTAGGTTAGTCGAATGCTTAATGTAATCTCATGTAAGTGAACTACCTGTTCTTATGAATAAGGATTCTTAAGCCGAAACTGGAACAGATATGTCAAGTGTATGAATCGAGAAAGAGACGCGTCACCATCTTCTGCTTTATAGGGTTCCGTGTTTTGTTTTAATCTAAGGTGAGTACAGTATAATAGAACGGACACTTGAAGAGCTATTGGGTGAGCAATCAAACATCAGAGCCCCGATTACGGTAACTTTTAACGTTTCCAATCCAGACACGCTTCTCGATTCTGCGATACGATTGGTCGTTCAACAGCGTACGTCAGCTGTTTTGACCAATCGTATTGCAGAATCAGAAACGCGTCTGGATTGTAGACGTTAAAAATTACCGTAATCGGGGCTCAGATCTGCGAGATAGAAAGTGATGTGAAGTAAAGGGCGTATGATTGCAGTTGAAAATAGTAAAATATCTTACATGATGTATGCTTTATTTATCCAGTTTGGTGTAGCGCAGTTTTAAGTTCAAAACAACCAAACATGATAACTTTATTTTTCTTAGTATCGTAAGTTAAGCTTCACTACTTGATAACCAGCCATGAAATAACAAACCTACTTGTTAAAAATTATCAATTTTTACGCTAAAGTTAGTTCATGTTTAAAAATAATGGAGAAAAGCGAAAGGTTATCATTGTTCCCAGGTGCGATAAGTAATTTCTGAGGCAAATGAATTATGCAAGCGCTGTGTGAAAACAATAGTTGGCGGGCCGATAAGCTACAATGTGTTTTTGAATGTTAAACAGCAGAAAAACTACTCATGAAGTGATTAATTTTAGAAAGCTACTGTTTTATGGTTTGATTTATTTGCAAATCTTATTAGGGATTGAGCAAATAGCAAGCATAAGATAGACTTTTATAAGAATTTGCACGCGATTTTTCAGATACTAG